TTTTTACCCATAATGTTCAAGGGCTTAGGAAATATTGTTTGTTAAAGGCTGGCAAACAACTTAAGTATGTTATCAATCTTTTAACCATTACCACCCTTATCTAAATGTATGGAGTGAAACAAATGACACATTGTTGACAAAAGCTTTTGTGTTTTTTGTTTGTCAATGTGATTTTGAATGAAGTTTTCTTACTTCTGACATAGAACCTGAAAGTTCCAGTTTCAGATCGGTTTTCTATCGTCCAATCATAAAGCAGAGGTTACAACCATGTTAACAGTTTGTTAAAGACACAGACATTGAGAACTGACTCGACACAGCTTTCCAAAGAGCAGGGACATCTTTGGAAATCTATGTGGCCAAAAGTAGATCCTACTGTAAAGCCACCTGTCTAGCCATTCACAAACGATGAGAATGAAGTCTTTACCTGTTAAAGGTGGCATGTCCGTTTCTGTTACTATTTCTCCTTGTTCTATGGTTGTATCAGAGTTCATCTGAAGCCTCTGCGGTAACACGGGTGCAGGGTGACAGGGAGTGATGCCCTCTGTGGACGTGAGGGTGCTGCTGGGCATCTCTTCTGCCGGCTCGATGTCCAGCTGCTTCATGATCTCCTCAGCCTCTATCGCTTGGCCAGGAGAGTCTGAACCAGGAGTGGCTGAACATGAAATGAGCGGTCATAGTTTGGTAACACAAGTCGTTTTTTTTACAGTGATGTCTAAGGATTCTTACCAGTTTTAGTTGCTGGTGAGAAAAAGTTAAAGACTGGAGAGAAGATGGTTCCCAGCAGGGTGGTGCGGGGCGGGCTGTTCACCACCTCCACGGGGACCTCTAGTTTACCGTTAGGTTTCAGGGGTTTACTATTGCAGGTCATTGTATCTAAAAAGAAAAAAAGAAAATATTACTGCTTTTTTTGTTGTTAAACTTGGAAGAGCTATATGTTCCGTTAGGCTGTAGTCAAAGTGAGACATTTCTTTTGTCTTTACCTTTATTTGGACTTTTGCGGCAAACTCTGGGGACTGCTTTATTGGAAAGGCCTCTTGTCTGTGGTGTTGAAGTAATGAGATCGCTCTCAGAATTACATTCAATGCGACTCCTCTTTGCGGGGATATCCTGCTCCACCTAAGAGAAAAAACAGGGATTCAGAACAGTTATTAATCGCTCACATTATTTCAGCTTTTGTCGGCTTTTTCTCTCTTGCAAATAAGAAAAACTTCAAATTATTATAATAAGAGACTCAATTAGTGATTATTATAGTTATTTTCAGAATGTATAGAGTGCATTTTATTTCACTGTGCATCTTTTAACTTGTGCTGCTTCACCTTTTACATTAAATGGGACTACACTAAATTGAGACTGTGTTGACTGTAGAGTTTCAGAAATATAGCTAGATCCTATCTTATATGAATCTAGTGTCTTTGATCCTTTCTCAAACTCCTAATAGTATGAAGCTGCATGTCTGAAAGGGGCTAAAGGTAAAGCAAAGCAAATTGTGTAGATGCTTTGTTGAAAAAATGCTCATGACCTACTCTGTTAACAAAACGTACGTGGTTTTACAGATGGCAATTAACTGATCGTTTATAATTATAATATGAACTACCAGAACAAGCTTACAAAAGCCAGAAGTACGAAAGAATGTTGGGTGTGTTTAGAATGTATATCAAGCATCTAAAAACACTCCTAGCTATTAAGTGTGAGTCACCGGTTAAAATTATCATCACAAAATGCAGCCAAGGCCTCCAGCGTAACAAAACTGTGAATTTCTTGTTACAGAATGAAAAAACAAAACTGTGAATCCAGACGAAAGCTCACCTTGACAGCATTTCCACGGATGAATTTCTTTATAGTGGAGAACAGGCCAGTTTCATTCTTCTGCATTTTGCCTCGACCTCTCACGGGGGATGGCTCCACTTCACGGTGTTTCCGTTTGGCCGGGGACGGGTGGGTTCGACGGCCTAAGGGTGGCTGCTGAGGAGCTTTACGCACTCTCAGCTTCATCATGCTCCACCGTCACATAGAAAAATCTGACAACAGAAAAAAAAGGGTTTTAAATATTGCTTTAAAAATGAGGATAATAACTTTCTCTTAAATATCAAAATGTTTTTTCAAAATGATCATAAGAACGAAGTTGTTCAACGTAACAGTTTGTCAAACCACACGCAGCTTTACAAGAACTTTGATAAAAATTGATATTTGGTAAATAACATGCATCTGACCGTACACTTGAGTTCAAGCCTTGATATCCTGCCCTATACATTACATTAAAAATATTGTCAGCATAATAAACATTGTTTATGTCTATGCTTGTAAAGACATTGTGACTTTTGTATTCTTGCTAAACTATTGATTATTGAAAAGGTTGTGTATTTATTAAAAAAGAAAAACGACATACAATTTCATGTAATTTATATAACTAAATATTTGTGTACAATTTAAAAATGACATACAAGCAATACACATAGGTGTGCTAGATGATACCAAATTATTCAAACTGTTACATAATAATAACTAATATGGAGCAAGTCAGCTGAAGATACTGATAAGATGTAAGATAATGCTTTATTAGTGCTACAGCGGGGGAGTTTGCAGTGTTAAGACAGGAGTACAAATGACAAAACCTAATAAATAAATCAACAGCAAATATTATTTAGTAGATAGACTGAACTGTTGATTTCAGAGGTTTACTATAGTCATATTACCACATCGGATGTTGTGGTGTAGTCATGTAACGGGATTATAAACTAAATTGAGAGCAGAGGTTGATTTTAGCGACAAATGTCAGTGGAGTGGGCGGTGTAACGCTACCCGATAAACACTGAATCATAAACGGATGCGAGGCCTTCATTATGTTCATATCGAGCTGGGGGTGGTACAAACGCATATTTAGTGGACAGTATCTCAGCTTTGTAACCTACTTGTTGCTTTATCAGATAGCATAACTGCATCCCTCACTGTCGTTATGTAACATCAGGCTCTGTTAACGCCAACAACGTCAGTTAGCGCTAACGTTAGCTAGCTGCTGGTTTTTAGCATTACATTCCGGTTTGATTAATAAACCAAAATGCCTTCTATGGTAGGACAAGCCAATGGTTTATTTAGCCACTACTGCCACTTGTCAGCTGAATATATCTGCATCAATCAGAATGTATTTACAAATATGCTGTCGGTGGGTATAGGGCTAGTTAACAAGGTGAATGTATAAAGAAAACTGAATACAGAGGCGGGACCCCGTTCATTCCTATGAGATTTGCTCAGTGGCGCATGAAGCTCAAAACAGAGCGACTGAAGATTCAGAAAGTACCCGGATCATCCGGGGCCTTTTAATTATGGAGCATGCGCAATTCAGTTTTCCTTAAGCCCCGCCTCGTGTCAAATGAATGGAGAGAGAACATTACTCTGGATACGGGGTTCAACGCCTATTACAACTGTTATCCCCTAGTGATTTAAATACGGGCTATACACGTGTTCGTGCTGGTTAGTTTATTGAGCTTATTCAAATATATATACGCTGAATTAGACATCTGTCTTTCCCAATGTAAATCAATGGGGGAAAGTATTTTTGGGCAAAATGACATCACGGAAGCTGTAGTGCCACCGTTTGGCCACTAAGGCCATTCCTAATTCAGCTTCAACGGCCGGCGCACTTCCTGAGTGCTTGGCTAACACAAGCAGCTACAATTAGCTTTCAGGCTAACAAAACGCCAATGGCAGCAAAGCAAGGCCGTGACATTATTCACGACAGTTCCCACAGCACTTCTCACACTTGTCGCCGTAAACATGCGTGTCGTTCACATACAAAATGCCCTTTAATTCATCGGTTAAATAAAGCCATTTATCACATAGCTAAGCTCTAGCTAACGCGTCCATAATTATTATTTTCAGCCTTTAGACTACGCCCCCTTCGCGGGCTAACGCTAGCCGCTAGCAGTCAGGCTATCAGGGACAAACCTTTTTGTTTACATGTTGACGTTGTTGTTTACTTACAGATGATCGAGGAAGCTCTTCAAAACTTGCCGCAGTGTTGGCAGCTATCGGCCGCGACCGTGGCGGGCCACCGGTAGAGGTCGGGCCGTGTTGTTGCTGCCAGCGGTGCCTGTCGCTCGGTATTCACAGACCAAACATGTCTGCGGACGCCATTTCCCGCCTCATCACAAACATAACGCTGGTGGTGCGCAGCGGAATGCGACACATACGTAACGGGGAACCAACGTGGCGGAGAGCGGAGTCAACAGAAGAAAAATGGTTGTTGTGTGTGCAGCTGGACCGAGGCTCACTACCAATGTTCATCCCTGCCGGTGCTTCTGTGCGACTACAAGTAGATGTGAAGAATGCGTTAAATTGAGATTTAAAACGTTTTTCTAGAGTGACGCGGGCTGCCATGGTTGAAATAGACTTGAATTACATAAAAATACAGATCCACACTACAGTTAAAGGATCTTAATATCCTGTTAATATGCAATACACAGTTATAATGCATTAGCAGGTATCTTATTTTTTACGATTTCAGTGTATTTTTAAGAGTAACCACATTCTCACGATCCTTTCAAATTGACTAATTTCAGCCATGACAATTGTAGGTTCTTCTTTACATTATTCCATGTAGGGGCCACATAGGACCAGAGTTATGTTTGTTCTTTTACCTTAAGGAGTTCCAAAAGTTTTCATTATTAAAATACCTTTTTTTTCATCTATTGTTTCAACAACATCTAATTGATGAGTAAATTGGCAAAACTTGAAAATCACTTAAGTAGCCTACTTCTGCTACAACACCTATCAGAATAAACATGGTCTGCATGTACAGCACATTTAGCACAGTCTACCTTACATTTGAATATGACAGAGATGATTGTTTCTTTACCTATAAAGTCTATAGTCTTAAGTGATAATATTAATCAGGGACTCAAGAATAGTAGACACAACTATCACACTAAAACTACTGTAAGTCAAATAAAACATCCAATATTTCATGCACATTATTTGGATGAAAAATAACAAAGACAGCAGGGTAGGAATTTTACTAACGAAATATTTACGGTTTTATTTTTTCTGTTATAGCAATTAAAATGGGTTTATAAGTATACAAATTCATTTGAATGATTATAGATGAACAAATCATAATACAATAATGAAGTTAGCACTGACTGTATAACCACCAACTGGATTACAATTTATTTAAGCACTCGCATAATCATTTACAATATTTTTCTGACATGTGTAAGAAAAGCACTAGTCATTTTCATGGCCATTCCCCAAGAAAAAAAATCCCTGATGTTGGAAGCACAAAAAACGAACTAAATATAGAACCGCACACACTGGCAACAAACCTGAAGACTGTATGAAATGGAAAAATTGCGACACTACAAACACAATAACAGACTTTCACCAATACACACATTTTTTTTCAGCAAACTTTGTTCAACAATCCATGATGTGAGATTTGATTGCTGTCAACACAACAGTCCTTATAACGGGTCAACAATGATTGCAGCTGTAGAGTTGAGTATACCTCCAATATCGCGCCATTGTTGGTTGGATAATTGGGGTTATCAATGCAGCCATCCTTACATTCAATGTGCAGCCAAATGAACCAAACAAATACCAATTAGCAGCTAAAAGCTACATAGATTCAGATACAATTCTTATTACTGGAAGTTACTTGCTGCATGTTCAAAAATATGCAAACATTTGTTATGATTAGTCACGAGGCCGAGGCCACCACTGTATTAGCCTGCAAGTGTCCACCCTTTCAGATAATGGAGATAATGTGCTACTTCTTTCCCTAAAAGAAGTGGAAATGTAAGTATCAACTTGCAAATGGATGGTATCATTTCATCCCGAGATGAAGGATTTTCCTGTATGGTGCTGGTCCACCCCACAGGCCCCTGACATAAGAGAAATAAATACAAATAATAACATTTGGTATGATTCATACTAACAACTATTACAATTTTGTTAATCAACGTTATACATACCGTAGTAGCCCGTGCCAGTAGAGGTGAGGCATCACATCAGCTTTCATGTGGTACATGATTCTGCTCTCTTTGGCTTGGTTCACAGGGAATGTTTCCAGTGGTTGTCCGTTGTAATCAAACTCTGCCAGAATCACTGTGTTGTAGCTTGTGACCAATGGGCACGAGGTGTAGCCATCATACTGTAAACAAGGAGACCAATGTTTATGTATTTGCAGATTTTTACAACAGAAGTACTTCAGAGAAGTTAGACCATGTTTCAAAATCAAAAAGAAAGGAGGTTTTACCGTTCTGTCTGGCTTCTCATTTTTCACTACTCGGCTGATGGTTCTGTTCAAAATAGCAGACTGTGCAGCTGCATATTTGAAAACAAGGGTAAGATTTTATTTTTATGTATTCTCTTATTAGGAATTGAAAAGACTAACAAGTTTTCCAAATTCCTCCTACACATACATCCTGTACCATCCATCTATGCATGCTAATAATCCACTTGCATGTGGGGTTAATTATAGTGGGCCCAGAATAAGGACATGGAAACTTAACATCAGCCTGGCATAGCACAAATATCTGGGCCTCCCACATGTTCTCTTTGTTGAGCCTTCATGAAGTGTCAGGTGTGTTCAAAACTTGCCATGTAATCGTGAGTTGCAATGTAAATATCTTATGTGAATTGGACCAGGTAGAATAGCAAGTTGCTGTAATCGTTTCTTTGTGAATTCACCCTGGAATGTAAACATGGTGGGCATGATTAGACTAATTCTTTACTGTAGTCACGTTGAAGTTGTACAGGAAGTGATAAGGAATGTTTTACAACCCCAATGTCCTCATCAGTGATCTACAGTTGCCAAGAACTTCCCATCATTTAATCCAGTTACCAGACAGGAACTGGTATAAACACAGACAGTTTCAGCTGGCAAGGATCCAAGGGTTAAACTTTACTATGCATTTGTATCATGTGCAAAACATTTATTTGGAAAATGTAATAGTAAAAGTGAGCTAAAGCACAGATGAACTGATAATGATACAATCCAGCAGATACTGAGAAGTGTCCCTTCACTACAAGCTTTTTAGGGTGTGGTTTATGTTTTTATAGTCGCCAGTAAATACAATGGGCAATTGTGCAATACACTAACTGAAAGTCCCTCTCAAATTACAAAAAACACAAGCAGTTCAAAAGGGATATGACTGCATGAATTGTAAGCCGATATTGAGTGAATTCTAGAGTTGCGTTAATGCAATGTTGAACTAATGACACAATAATCACTCACCGACAGCAGCTCCTGTTTTGGCCGTGGGAAGGTTTGTACAGTCTCCAATCCCAAACACATTTGGATATCTATTATGTTGAAGGTTATCTTTGCTGATGTCCAACCAGCCAACTTCATCTGCCAGCTGACTGCCTTTAACCACCAGATTGGGTCCCATTGGTGGTGTGACATGAAGCATTTCATACTAATACAGAGAATCAGTTTTAAGGGTTATTCCCTGGAGTTTCTTTTCCCACTAAAATGAAGAGGAAGGAAAAGCTTCTGTTGAGGTACAGTCAGTGATAGTTACCTGAAACACTTTGGTTTCACCTGGTTTGTCAAGATTTTCAAACACAGCTTCTTGCTTATCTGCCCTCACTTCGATCAGGTTTTGCCTCATATTAATTTGTAGGTCACGCTGTTTCACAATTTCCCACAATGAGTCAGCATATTTCTTGATCCCAAAGAGCACAGGGAGCGATGTGTTGTATATGATGTTGGCCTTTGCTCTTTTACCCGTCTTGGAAAGAAACAAAAACATTTCTTCATTTAATTTGGAGAACCAAACATGATAGTTTCAAAATGTACAACATTACATTCTGAAATACCTTTCTGAGATAGGCATCTGTTAGATACATTATCTTCTGTGGGGCTCCTGCACATTTCACAGGAGTGTTTGGGAAAGTGAACACAGCGTTTCCCTCTTTGAAGTCTTGCAGAGCTTTCCAAGTTTTCCCCACAGTTTCGACTGAGTAGTTTGATCCAATCTTTGGGTGATCAAATCCTTCTGGCAGTCCTTTGATCTAAATATAAGAAGAGAATGCTGAAATTGTTTTTTTAAGGTATTTTTAGATGAAAATAAATACCTCAATGATTAATACATTATCAAAAAACTGGCTGAGATTTTTCTGTCAGTCAACAAATCAATTAGGCGACTAATTAATGTTAATCTAATTTATATAAAAGGGCATACGTTTACTATAAATGAACAAAGGGATACTTCACCTTCTCAAAATGGAGTTGTAAGCCAAGCGCCACAATCAAATACTCATAAGAGATCTGAAATGTGAAATAAAGTCTATGTAAGGTTAGATGCACATCAATAATCTTTATTTTGCACAGTATTAAGCAATTATATTTTTATATTACACTATTTTATTATATATAAATAAAAGTTTACTAAGTAAACATACTTCAGTCCCATCGTCTGTGAGGACAGTATTTTTGTCTGGGTTTATTTCCTGAACTTTAGATTTCACCCACTTCACACCAGACGGCATAACACTCGCAGTGGACCGACCTGATGAGGTCAACGTTTTTGCACCAGCACCAACCAGGGTCCATATAGGCTGATAGTAGTGCATCTGGAAAAAGAGAAAGGTTCTTAGACAACCAGCTTTAAAAGACAATAAAATAGTGATATCATGAGTTTACACCTGAATGAATGAAAGCCACTACACCACATGATCTGTAGAATTGTCTTTTAGTGATACACAAAGAGAGGTGAGGCTAATACAAATCCTATTAGTACAGGATCCTTACCTCACTGGGCTCCACAACAGCCACATTTCCAGCTCCAAACATCCTCTTCATTCGTGCACTCATTGAAATGCCTCCACTTCCTCCTCCGAGCACAAGCATTTTGTAATGCTGTTTAGCAGAAGCATGGCTGCTCGTGTGAAATTGGGAGAGAGCAATGATTGTGGGGTGGCACTGCCTCAGACGACGCAGTGCAGCCATTCTGTCTCTGAAAGAACAACAAGTCATTTTAGTTGGCAACAATTCAGTTATGCTATCTGTAACTCAAACAAACTGTATCTTTGAACAACCTGCACTTCAGTTGGGTGGTTCATGTTTACATGTTGACAAATAGAAGGGTAGAAATCAATAATAATAACTTGAATTTATATAGCGCTTTTCATAACCTCAAGGTCGCTTTATAAAGAAACATACAAGGACAAGACATATAAACATAAACGATACTTGTTATAAGAGTAATTAGAAGTACTGTTAATAATCCAATTGAGGTTGGTTGGAGAGCACATTTTAGATATCTTTAATATTGAATGTTCTGACATACATAGAGTAATGACAAACATGTGATTAGATAAGACTGGAACTGAACCACTCATAGACATACTGTAGCTAATCATAAAAGGGACCATCCCAGCTATTAGCATAGCTTGACAAAACACACACAACAGAAAATCAGCAGCAGCAAACTACGCAGCACATCTTTAAGAGGATTTGACCCATTTTAGTGTAAAAGTTATACAGCATAAATTGAACACCTGGTTTCATTAGATATTCTGACTTTGACATAATACCGAGGGGTGAGAACCAGAGGGGCGTAAGTGACATTTGACCAACTTTACAGGAGAGCCAAAACAAAAAAAACAACCATACATATGTCAAATATAGCAATATAATTATATACGACAACAGCATAGTTCATGCAGATCATGTACGTTTCAGATTGATTTGAAACGACATACTAGCCTACTCTGCCTGAATGACTTGCAAAGACTGGTAGAAGTAGGAGTGAGGGATACTCCCATTTGTGTGAGTACGTCTTTCTTTTTCACAGCAGTGATCCCAGGTGGACCTGTGTGCATCTTCTTTGGTTCAATTGCAGGAGCACCTCTGGTCTCCTGCTTTCCAACTTGCAGCTTGGTCAGACAGCTCATATTTGAGTATTGTGTAGCGCAGCCATTTCATTTTCTGCCAACGAACTGTTTGTCCCTCTATGTCTTTGGTTCTGTTTCGGACCGTGTGTTGTAGGGCTGTGCAATTAATCGTATTTTAATCTCGATTACGATTTTGGCTTGCAACGAGGTCCATAGTTTCCCCGCAGCGAGCCCCCCCCCCCCCCCCCCGCCCCCCTGTTGACAGTTCACGAGCGTGCCCCCTCGACTTCATCCATCATCACAGTCATCAATTAAGGATGTGCTTTACAGTGCAAAGGCCTACTCAACCAGCTCGCAAAGACACAAGATACAACACATGCCATCACATTCTACATAGCTAAAGGCATGTGCCCAGTTAGCACGGTTAGCAACCAGGGGTTTAAGCAACTGGCTAACACTATGGACAAGCGTTAAGCGATGCCATCTCGGCATCATTTCACCAGATCTGCACTGCCTGCCCTATATGACAAATGCCGTGGGGAATTTAAAAAAGATGTGGCTTCAGCTGAATACTTTGCAGTTGAGTTATACTTAAAGTTCAGGGTAATCAACTGTTAAAAAGATACTGTTCAAATTATTATTATTTCTTTTTTTAAGTTCAATAAATGAATGTTTTCAAAGTCAATGAATAATCGATATCGATATTGACCAAAATAATCGTGATTATGATTTTTGCCATAATCGAGCAGCCCTAGTGTTGTGAGAAGGACTTGAAATCCAGAAAGTCACTGTGCCCAAGCTCAATCACCTTCTGTGGCCTGTTCCTCCTTGCCATCCCCACAAGAGTGTAGTACCCCTCCGAACTGTACAAAGGCCCTTTTTTTCTGTCGTCTCAATGGCTGCATGAACACTGTCAAATTCCATCTTGCTCTGTCCAGACTCCATGAATGTATGGTCAATAATGGAGATGGGCAGTGCTGGAATTGGGCCGGTACTCACCGGTACGCAGTACCGGCACTTCTGGTTCTGACCCATGGAGTACCGGCACTTCTTGCTCAGTACCGGCATGCTGGCGGTACTCCGGTACTCATGCACCGTGCCAGTACTCAACACTCTCCCGCCGTTCTTATTATACATCCATATATATATATACAGCCGCCCGGTACTCAGTAGATGCGTCATGAGGTGCCGAACGGACATTCTCATCGCTCTAACCGCTGGAGTTTCACAGCGGCTGTCAGCTGTTTACTCCTGTCATTCAAACAGAACGTGCTGGAGAGGGGGCGGGGCTTATCTTCTCCATGTAAATACTGTGGTGGAAACGACTATGTCAAAATTAACCTATTTGACCGTGATTTAATAGTAATACACGTTTCAAAATAATAATAATAATAATAATGCCGAAGTAACAACATACTGAAAACTGTTAGTAAAACCATGTTTTAATGCTTTACAATTTACATACCTAGATGCACGTGTGTTGTGTTTATGCAGTGCAACTCCCACCCAGTGGGTGGCTATGTAGAGTGATAGAACAGAGCAGGCACGCCCCAGAGAGAAGGAAAGCAAGTCACGTCACAAATTAGCATTTCTAAAATGTTAGCGTGGATTAATAAAAGTGCAAAAAGACAGCGGTTGTCGCCGGAAGAAACTTCAAATACAGAGAATGCTGTGCCTGTGTTGGAAATTGTGTCTGATGGGGAGCTTTCTTTGGTTGATCCTCCTGCTCCAAGTTCTAGTGCATTAGCATTAGCACTAGCTCCGCCGCCTCCTCCAGAGCCTCTAACGTTAGCTGCTGCTGGCGCAACTGCCACCACCAACACCGGGCAAAGCGATGCACCTGACTGCTGGACAACGGACCAGGTGCAATATGTTTGCAAGACCAATGCATGGCTCCTTCTTAAAGATAAGAAGCTAGGATGTCGGATATGCAGAGATGTCAAATCTTTGGGAATACACACTGGACTCAATCATTTCCAGATCTTTTTTGACAAACTCTATTCCTTGTTCCATGCCTCCCCCAAAAATCAGAGGCCGTTAGCGCAGTATGCGCAAGCAGTCGGACAGCGTCTCCTGGTGATAGGGCGTGTTTTGTCCATCCGCTGGGTGGCTTCAAGTGAAAGGAGCGTCAGAGCAGTCTGGGAAAACTACCGAGTGCTTCATGATCACTTCACAAATGCTGCAAACGACACGAGCAGGGATTCCAGAGACAGAGCAAAGTACAAGGGCCTGGATGATGTGCTCACATCTGCAACGTTTGTCAGCAATCTGGGACTGATGTACGATGCGCTCACAGAGCTCAGCGACCTCTCTCGGCAACTCCAAAAAAGAGAGATGACACTGCCTACAGCAGATAGGCTCTTAACTCGAGAAATACGAGTTTTTGAATCCATGGTCACCATGCCTGGCCCACACATGACTACAGTTCATACAGCTCTAGCTGAGAAGTCCTTCAAGGGTGTTGCCCTGCGTGAGAATGGCAGGCTTGTACAGATTCATGCAGGTCAGTTTTTCCGCAGTATGGTAGAGAATCTGAGACACAGAATGACTTCCACAACCTCCTCTCATGTCAGCACAAGAGAAATCCCATTACATGGCCGGGAGGCCCGGGACAATCAGCTAATCCAGGACATGAAAGTTATCCATCCTGGAAGTTGGCCTGAAGAGGAGTTAGACCTACAGTATGGGGACGTAGAGGTGCTACGTTTGTGCGAAGTGCTGAAAGTGGACAGAAGAGAGACTGTTCAGGGCTTTCGCGAATACAAGGAAACCAGGGCATCCCGTACACCTGCTGCCATGGAGCCTCTACTGAAAGCAGTCCGAACCATCGCTGTCTCCACTAGTAAGTGTGAGCGGGCATTCAGCTGCATGAACGATATCCTTACTGCAAAAAGGAATGCTCTCTCTGTCAGCCGACTGTCCAGCCTGGTTTTCATTAAATGTAATGGACCATCACTAGGACAGTTCAATCCGGAACAGTATGTGAGGTCCTGGCTGGCAAAGGGAAGGAGAAGTGCTGATGAAAGAGCCTGTCCAGCTCCAGCCCCTGATACTGATGTCCCCAAGGCCTTCTGGAGCCTTTTCTAACAATGTGAAGTATATTGCAAAGCAGCTCACCCAGTGAGAAGACTTTTGGCATAATGTGCCGATTTGTACAGATCCTGGAGATAGAAGGACTTCAGACCAACCAGGGAGTTATCTGATCAGCTTGGTGTTCAATGTAACTCTTTACCATGGCTCAGACTTTGTTACTTGCAGTTACAGTTTCTCATTTTAGATTGTGCAAATGTTGCATTTGTTTTTACATGTTCTTTGTTCATGCTCTTTATCATTTTTCTGAGTTGGAAAGTTAGATTGCATCATAGTTTACTTTATACATATTTGTATTCTTCAGTGGTGAAGTATATTGCAAAGCAGCTCAGCCATGTGAGAAGACTTTTGGCACTTTTTCGTTTTTCATTTTCTGAGTTGGAAAGTTAGATTGCATTCAAAATGTACAGAAATACTTAATTTTGTTAAAGCTTTTTATAAAAAATGCTTCTGACCAGAGCTTTGTTTCCTTGTCATTAATGTTGAACACCACCAGAGGGGCTCTCACCTGAAAGGTCTCTGCTTCATGTGTCTTCAGCAGAAGATCTAGACTTTGATTGCTATATTTTCAGTTAATATTGACCTTACTGAGCTTTAGCCATATCCGCTGCCTATCATAAAAAATGTTAAGTACAGTGAACCTTTCTAAAATATACAGTAGTAAAGAGACAAACCCACCAGCATTATAGTAGCCAAATTCTTGTTTGTGGGCTGTATATATAAAATTGACTTGAAAAAGTTGCTGATTTTAGAGTACTGGCACATTTTTCATTCCAATTCAAGCACTGGAGATGGGCAAGGTGTTGACTGCATGGAGACACATGGCACTAAAACCAGCATTCCTGTTCTGCCCACCACATGTGTCAGAGTACAGCACCACATGCTCAGTACCTGAAAGAGTTGACAGATACTGGAACACGCATGTGCTGATCTCTGATGAGTTGAATTCTCTGTTGAAGATGGATCTGTAGAAACTAAGTTTCCTTCGTCACTCAGCATTGACTTTGAATCCTGGATTATTTCATTCTCTTCATCAAGCTCTTCTGCATCTTGAAATAAGATTAGTAACACTTCTTCAGCAGTGAAAAGCTTTCTTCTCATGGTTGACCTAGCGTGCTTACATATGGTGTCAGCCATTTTGACTCAAGTGCAATACAAAGGCTTGACCCATAATAAATTTCTCAGGGCCAAAAGGGCGTAAGTGCACTTACGTCCTTTTGGCCCCAAATAGTTCAGTGTGTTCTGTGTTAGGTCTTTTGGTTTTTGATGAATAACTCTGGATTGGTTTAGACTTCACATGCACCCTTTTGGCAGTAGAAAGAGCTCATCGAGAGCTTTCATTTGATATATAAAACTCATTTTTGACCAAAATGTCACTTACGCCCCTCTGGTTCTCACCCCTCGATACGTACTTTCCAGTCTATGCCTTGGTTTACCAGAAGGCAGAAACCCTTATAAAAGTAGAAAAAGTAACTGGTATGGGTTGCATTAATTTGGGGTGTTGACATCCTCTTTAGTGAAGCCTAACCTGAGTTTAAGCGTTGCTGCATACTGCGTAATCATTGGGTCAGTACTGTAACGTCGAAAAATACAACTCTTTCAAGAGACTTGCCTTTAACAGCAGCACCACTGTTCACCGACCGTTTAGTCCTCTGTCTGACCGTCAATTCTGGACAAAATCCGGGAGAATTAAATCCTTAGACCTTTCTCAGCTCTGCAAATAAGGCAGGATTTACTCAACCTGAATGAAGCAAAGTGAACTCTTCTTCTTCTTTAGTGTTTATTGGCGGTTGGCAAAACAACTTTTAGGTGCATTACCGCCACCAACTGGACTGGAGTGTGGACAAGAGACTATGCAGAAAACAATAAACAAAAAACAAAACAAAGAACCAAAACTCTAGATTATTTTAAATGTATCAATTTCTCTTAGAAACGTAATAATCTCATATTGCCTGATTTTTTCCCTAACAGCCCTGATAGCGACAAGTCATCGAATTTAGCTTTCTTGAGTGTCTGGAAAAGCACATTTCTCTGAGTACTATATTTCCTGCAAAGCAGTAAAACATGCTCAACAGTTTCTGGCTGGCTACAGTGTATACACTTTCCAGTTGGATGCTTTCCTATTATACTTAATGTATGATTGAGACCTGTATGACCTATTCTCATCCGAGAAATGACATTTTCCTCCCTTCTTTTAAACCCTACCTTCCTTCCATCCTTCCATACCTTTGAATTTTATAAATATGTCTTCCTGTATCACTAAGATCCCAATGTTCTTGCCATGTTGTTTGTGCATATTTCTGTATGAATGTTTTAACTTCCGCTTTGCTGAGTGGAACTTATATGTCTATGTTCATAATTCTGAGTGTTTGTTTGGCCAGAATATCCACCTGTTCATTACCCTCCACACCAACATGAGCAGGAACCCAGATGAAACGAGTTGCTATGCCTTTGTTTTGCATTTTATATAAAATTAGAAATATTTCATTTATTATGTCCATTCTAAATGAAGATCTGCCTGATCGTATACTTGATAATGCAGAAAAGCTGTCAGATGCAATTATAGTTATACTATTATGTATTTCTTTCTCCTCTATCCATTTCAATGACAACACCAATGCCAACAACTCTGTGGTGTATACTGACACATGGTCTGTTACCCTTTTCTTTATTATGTGTATGTACGCCCTGTCTCTGGATCTTTGGAACCATCTGTAAATATGATTGTTGAGTCTGAGTGATATCTTGCAAAATAATTCTGGACTATGCGCCATACTGGTAGTTCTTTCTTTTCCTTTAACTCCTCTCGTATATTGAGGTCTACACTTGGCAATGGGAACAACCAGGGTGGAATGGACGAGATTGGAACTGTGGGGCTATACTGTATTTAATTCAAACCTACAGTATACTTGCTGCTTTAACATCGCCAATCCATCCAAAACTTGTTAAATGTGACTCATTGTGCTCCCAGCAATCTTTCAAGATACTTTTTGCAGGATGACTATCACTATGCCCCTGAAGGTTTACCCAGTAGGCCAACATTAACTTCACTCTTCTTATCCTTAAAGGCATTTCTCCCATTTCCACCTGTATTGCTGATACTGGAGATGTTTTAAAAGCTCCACTACATATTCTCAGGGCCTGAGCTTGTAGGACATCCAGCTTTTTAAGGTTTGATGCTGCTGCTGCCATGAACGCTATACACCCATAATCAAATACAGGTCTCATGAGTGCCCAATATATATTCAGAAGTGATGACCTACTCGCTCCCCACTCCTGTCCCGCCAAACACCGAAGTACATTGTTGACCTTTTTACATTTATTTTGAACTTTTCCTATATGATTGCTCCATGTTAACTTTCCGTCAAACCAAACACCAAGAAATCTTATTGTATTAACCTGTTCAAGAGGTTGCTCATACAATTTTAACGATATAGGAGCAATGTTATGCCGTTTTGTAAAACAAATGACCTGCGTCTTAGCTACTGACGGTTTGAATCCCCATTTATTTGTCCATTTCTCCACTTCAACTATTGCAGCTTGTATTTTCTTTCCAACATGTGCTACATTGCGGCCTTTTGCCCACAAAGCCCCATCATCTGCATACAAAGATTTTCCCATACTTGGATGAACTTGATTAAAGATGTCATGTATCATTATATTCAGGGTTGGGAGGGTTACTTTGTAAATGTAATCAGTTACTGATTACTGAATACATGGCTCTGAAAGTAATCCGAATACAGTTACAGTTACGTGTTTAAAAAAAGTAACGTAATCAGATTACTTTTGGATTACTTTCTTTTTCCATCACATGGGTATGTTTTGGTGAACAGGAGACACAAAAAGCTAAAGGAAACTGAACGTGTTTTTACTGTTTTAATGGCTTATCAAGAGCACAACTGAAACATAACATCTGAAACGATGTGACAACATAATACACTTTCTGGGGATGCAGCTTGGGATGTGAGGAGTGAGGGACACGGCAGGACATGAATTAAAATGTCGAACTCGGACTTCATTTTAAGGACATTTCGGCCAAGAGTGTAGAGCTTGTTTAAGCACCGGATTGGCAAAACAGGAGACTGTGCACCAGTCTTGATCTATGAATTCATGTCCGTGACACTCACAGTATCTGCTGCCCACAGCTGTTTTATAGAAGGAAAACCTCCTTCACTTCATGAAATCTCTGCAGCGCCAGGAGGCAGCGGGAGGGTTAACTCAGCCTCTGAGAAGACGAGCGCGCAGTGCCTTTCACGCACCGCCTTCGCTGTGTTTACCTTCAGAATAATTAGAAAGGCTAAAGAGCGACCGCAGGCTGATGTGTTTTAACCACACACACCTCTACACACACACACGACTTAAACGCAGACTTTTGTTCCTCCATGTTTCGTTGTTATTGTTTCACTGAGCGGACCCGCCCCTTTTTTTTTCAAACGCTCCCTTTTTTGGTCCATCTGCGGCGGTAAAAGTTTGCGCTGTGATGATTCGGCTGTACCTTTAGTAATGAATATTAAATGTTGTGAGGAAATCTTTCCACCAATAATTCCAATAAGTAATCCAAAATGTATTCACTTCAGGTTTACGAAAGTAACTGTAATCAGATTACTCGTTTTTCAAATGTAACGCGAGCTGAATACAGTTAGGCTACTTTATTTTTGTATTCTGATTACGTAACGCCGTTACATGTATTCCGTTACAACCCAACCCTGATTATATTGAACAGCAACGGACTACATACACTACCGAGTACCATTTTCCACAGCATAAACACTTGAATATTCTGCACCTACTTGTATTTTTCTGTCCAGTAAAAAATTCATAACCCAATTATATGCTTTACCACCAATTCCCAATGATTTTAACTTGATTAGTCCTTCGTTCCAGAGCATGTCATGCCTTTTCAATATCAAAGAAGACTGCAATCACTACTTCCTTATTGGTCTGTGCTTTCCTGATGTCTGATTATAAGCACAATATAGAATCCATTGTATTCCGACCCCTACGGAACCCACTTTGATATGGGGACAAGAGCTTTACTTTCTAAGATATATGTCAACCTTTCTGTAACCATTCTCTCCATGATTTTTGCATAAATGAGATGTCAGGGCAATAGGCCTGTACACTCTTAAAACTACTGGGTTAAAAAATAACCCAATCATAACCCAGCTGCTGAGTCACTATAGGACAGAACACGTGCTGGGTTGTCTTAACCCATGTGCTGGGCTGGATAATTGTAACCCATGTGCTGAGTTGTTTATTTGACCCAAGCTAGTGATTGAAATTAACTATATCACTGGGTTAAATATAAACCATACATTGGGTTGTTCATTTGACCCAATCTAGTGATTGAAATTAACTATATTGTTGGGCTAAATAGAATATAATTGTAAAGGAATATTTTAGTCTGATGTCTTTGTGTGCTTAGCTGTCCTGAGAAACTTCACATGAGTGACTGCTTTTATCTTCAGTAGACTGGACTACTGTAATGGTGTCTTCACAGGTCTCACTAAAAAATCTATTAGAAAGCTGCAGCTAATTCAGAACGCTGCTGCTCGAGTCCTCACTAACACTAAGAAAGTGGATCACATCACTCCTGTTCTGAAGTCTTTACACTGGCTTCCTGTGTGTCAAAGAATAGATTTCAAAATACTGCTGCTGGTTTATAAAGCACTGAATGGTTTAGGCCCAAAATACATTTCTGACCTCCTGCTAAATTATGAACCATCCAGATCTCTCAGGTCTTCAGGGACTGGTCAGCTTTCTGTCCCCAGAGTCAGAACTAAACATGGTAAAGCAGCGTTCAGTTATTATGCTCCAAATCTCTGGAACAAACTCCCAGAAACCTGCAGGTCCGCTGCAACTCTGACTACTTTTAAATACAGGCTGAAGACTTTTCTTTTTGTCGCTGCTTTTAATTGAACTATTCATATCTTAGACTGCACTGTAACTTTTATCCATGTACTTTTTTTCTTTTTTTTTCTTTTAATGTTTAATTGCACTGTAACTTTTATCCATGTATTTTTTCTTTTAATGTTTATTTTATTAGCTTTTCTTTTTAATGACTGATTTTAAATGCCATTTTCTTAATCTCTTTCATTTTTTGTAAAGCACTTTGAATTGCCTTGTGTTGAAAAGTGCTATATAAATAAACTTGCCTTGCCTTGCCTTGCCTTACTCTTTTCCTGTGTGGGGGAAGGGTTTACTGCCCGCTCAGACAGAGCATCTTTGTTTGTTCATCTGGAATCGATTGGGGTAAAGGCCCGCGTTTCTAGGCTCCGCCCCTTCTCAGAGACCAGGTTCGAGCGGTTCCGTCTTTGTGTGGGCAGAGTTAATTTGGCAGCTTGCATTAAACAGTGCGAGTTGCTTTGTTAATCCTCCGGCCGTTTTGTCTCTCAATAAATATCAGTGTATTGACTAAGGCGAATCCAGTTTCCCTCATTTCATGATTGGCTCAACATTGCTGCAAAGAAGTTTTACTTCACAATAATAATAATGTATAATAGTGTAATGAATTATCTCCAAACACACCGCGTATATATATATAAAAAAATGCATTTATTGATAATTTGAACAGCTTTGGCAAATCGTCAACATTCCATTTCCACTATAAAAGAACAATGCATTTTAGCACAATACAAATTCAATATATTTAACTCTTAAATAAATAAAAAAACACCTTAAAAACAGTGCGAGGGCCTTGAGAAATATCTGTGTGTATTTTAACCATCACTTATGAGTGAACACAATTTTCAGGAACAGTTCTGCATATTAATTTAACACATGGACCATAAAGACCCAATACATATAAAAGTATAAAACAACATCTACGAACAGTCCTTCAACTTGAAGCTGAACAGTAACAAATCTGTCAATGAACACAACAGAACACAGATGTAAAGCAGCAGGATGTAAACAGAGGAGAACAGTGTGTGTGTTAGGGCTGAACGATTAATCGATTTTAAATCGAAATCGCGATTTGAAATGATGCGATTATCAAATCGCAAAGCCTGCGATTTTTGTTAACATTTTTATTTTTTTTACAATTTTTTTTTTCTTTCTTGTGTGTCAGTCATCCACACCAATCAGAAGTGCTGTGCTCCACATGTACCAGCCATTGTTAATCAATCAGAAGTAGCCCATGATAGAAGGTGATGGACAGATTGATCCAATCACCTGCCAAGTGCTTCTGAAAGTGCCTGCCCTTTCCAAATGGCTTCCAATGGAGCTTTAGATGGTTTGGTGAAACAAACCATCTGAGTCAGGTTAGTAATGCTCCATCACATGTTTCTATTACAGGGTGAATCTCAAACTGAAGCTTGACTTTAAAGCAACCCAACGGAAGTTTCATGTAAGTTTAGTTCTTTCACTCGTAGCTCGGGCTGCGGGGGTGCTAGAGACGGGAGTACGTTGATACGACCTTCCTAGCCGGAGTTATGGCCGCATTTTACAATACACTTCCATTGGGTCGCTTAAAAACAAATATCGCAAATCGCAATCGCAATATTTGTTAGAAAAATGGCAATTAGATTTTTTCCCAAAATCGTGCAGCCCTAGTGTGTGTGTGATTTTTAAAGTGCAACTTTGTTGGTAGGATTAAACTGCCAAAAGCTTTTTCAGGCTCAACACCCTGGGCTTCAAGGTCCCCTCATCCAGGCCCATCAACACTTTCTGGGTGAAGTCGAAAGTGTTGGCCAAGTCTTTTGTGTAGCTCAGATGCAGGGCAAAGGTCAGTGCAAAAAGCAGGATGAATGCGTCAGCCAGTGTGGGGAGTTCCATAACTCCGTTACCCTCAATGACAACAGCGATCCTCTCTGGGCAGAAGAGCGTGGTATCTGTTGACCTGGCACTGATCATGAGAAGTCCGACCGCGATGCCCTCTGTGTCTGGATCATCAGACTGCTCCACCTGATGACAAGAACAGATAAACGTTACCCAAATTGCCTATCTCAGAAATGTGTTTTCTGAAAAATACATCAGTGACATATCACATAAAATAACCTTATGTTTTGTGCATAATGTGGGTTTAAGGAAACGCCTATTAGCATTGCACAACATAATGTTACAGCACCAGAAACGTCAGCCTCCAAAATAACCAATCAGTTGACATAAAATGCTTTCAACAAAAAAACATTTATAACCTTCATAAGGGTAGGATTTATTTTATCACTGTATTAGACTGTTACTATTAGCTAGTTGTACCTAATACACTGGCAACTGAATATATATTTACAGTATAATCTCTCCCTACTACACATACAAACAAATATGGGGAACACGAGAGATTATTTTGTATTGAACACTGATGCTGCAGGAAAGAAAGCCCTCTCTTGATTGTGTATTTTATTAAATCATGTGAGCCCATTTTTTACACTGAAACCTAGAGCTTAATTTCAAATAAATCCTAAAGTAGAAATCATATTCAACACTTCTGAAGTCACACACACACACACACACACACACACACACACACACACACACACACACACACACACACACACACACACACACACACACACACACACACACACACACACACACACACACACACACACACACACACACACACACATACACACACACACACACACACACACACACACACACACACACACACACCACACACACACACACACACACACACACACACACACATCAGAAAGAGTAAGGAGAGGCACCCCCCCCCCCCCCCCGAAGCTGAGACTCCAGTCTCAATCTCATCTCTCTCGGGTTGTGATCATCAGTTGGGTGATTTTCCTCTTTGTCCACATTTCTCTGAATATTGTGACTGCTTGTTGCTTGCCTGCAGCCATTTTCCCATCAATACACCTTCAGCTGTTTTTTTCTTCTTCGCAGATGAACAGGCTTTGTTTGGTATTTACACGACTGCATCCATGTCTGGTGATGGTTTATTCAGGAGGAGGATAAAAAGTGTTTACTGCGGATACATCTGCTAAATGTGGAGCTTGAAATAAACGGATACATGGAGACACAACAAGAATGCGCCTGTGACAAACTTGTGCGAGGTAAGAAACCATGTTTTATTTCACACACTAACACATTATTTTGAAAAACAAGTAACTCTACACCTTGTTGCTTTGTTTTTCCTCACCTGGGAGCTTTGCTAAGGCAACAGAGTTCACTGGGGAGTCACCTGCTGCTGCCCACACTGATAGTTTAATTAAAGTTGCTTATCTGAACAGAAAAGAGACAAGGCTGCAGTCTGCTTTGTGTGTTGCCTTAGATCTTATACCAATGTACAATAAAAAAAATCCATACAAAATTAGACATGCCAATTAAGTGAATGAATGCATTATCTGCAAAACCACAACATAAAAAAAGAATTTTGAGTATTATAGGATACTATTATGTTGGATTATTGGATTATCATTTCTGATGCATTCAGGTGTAAGTAGTATCAGTTTTATAGGCAGTTATATTAGTGACTAGTAACTAAAGCTGTCAAAAAACTGTAGTGAAGTTAGAAGCTTAAAGGTTAAAATAGGTTTAGTTTAAAGAATCAAAAGTACTCAATACGTAGAATGAATATGCCATTGGATAATAACCTATGCAAAAATGTAATTATTGCTTTATATTGCATCTGGGAAAGGTTTTAATTAAATGTTTCCTCAATAACGTCTTAACTAACATATGATAATACAGTTAATTGATTAGATCTTGTATTTAACAATCTAAATACACATTTACTAGTGACTAAAGCAGTCAAATGAATATAGTTACGGTGGCCCTGAAGTGCAAGACACTACAGCATTTCAGAAAACACCACAGCATTTCACAAAACACAACAGCATTTCACAAAACACTACAGCATTTCACAAAACACCACAGCATTTCAGAAAACACCACAGCATTTCACAAAACACCACAGCATTTCACAAAACGCCACAGCATTTCAGAAAACACCACAGCATTTCACAAAACACCACAGCATTTCACAAAACACCACAGCATTTCAGAAAACACAACAGCATTTCAGAAAACACCACAGCATTTCACATTGGACGGAAAGGGTATTCCTTTAGGGAGAACACGTCTTGTTTGTGATTGGACAGAGCCGAAATATGTCCCAACACATCAGCCGTTAGCACACACTCAGAGCTCACAGCTCCTCATATCTGTTCAGAAACTGGACAAAAGTTAAACATGTACAAACCACAGACTGTCTGTGTCATGGCGAATACAGTCGCTGCTTTATTTATGTCTGTATGACGTTGTTGTGAGTGTGGACGGAGCAGCTACAGGTTAGTTTAGCCTGCTGGATCCGATTCCATTCAGAAAACACGCATTTTAAAAGCTTTTCGCCTGCCGTCTTATCTGCAGACTTGTCAAAGCGTTAATTCATGGTTTTTACTAACCGTTATCAGTATGTAGTTACTTCGGCATCAATTTGAAACGTGTATTACAATTAAATCACGGTCAAATATGTTCATTTTGTTGTAGTTGGTATCTCTCATAGGATTTACATGGAGATACGCCCCGCCCCCTCTCAGCGCCTCTTGTTTGAATGACAGGAGCAAACACAGCTGGCAGCCGTGGTGAAACTCGAGCGATTAGAGCGATGCGAATATTGGGTGGTCTACCATAGTATTTACATGGAGATAAGCCCCTTAAAAACCATGAATTAATAAAGCATTAATTCTGTGTTTACTCCTGTCATTCAAACAAGACGCTGGAGAGGGGGCGGGGCGTATCTCCATGTAAATCCTATCGGAATCGGATCGATCAGGCTAAACTAACCTGTAGCCGCTCCGTCCACACTCACAACAACGTCATACAGACATAAATAAAGCAGCGACTGTATTCACCATGACATAGACAGTCTGTGTTTTGTATATGTTGAACTTTTGTCCAGTTTCTGAACAGATATGAGGAGCTGTGAGCTCTGAGTGTGTGCTAACAGCTAACGGCTGATGTGTTGGGCCAATCACGAAGCGTCATTTCTTGACTGGCAGCAAAAACAACCAATCACAGCAGTGCTTCTATGGCTGGCTCTGTCCAATCACAAACAAGAAGTGTTCTCCCTAAGGAATACCCTTTCCGTCCAATGTGAAATTCTGTTGTGTTTGGTGAAATGCTGCGGTGTTTTGTGAAATGCTGCGGCGTTTTGTGAAATGCTGTTGTGTTTTGTGAAATACTGTTGTGTTTTGTGAAATGCTGTGGTGTTTTGTGAAATGCTGTGGCGTTTTGTGAAATGCTGCGGCGTTTTGTGAAATGCTGTTGTGTTTTGTGAAATGCTGTGGCGTTTTGTGAAATACTGTGGTGTCTTGCACTTCAGGGCCACCGTATATAGTGGCCAAAACAACATCTGCCTGTAAAGTGTAGCGGAGTAAAAGTATACAGAAAATGAAAATACTCAGGTGAAGTACTTGAGTAAATGTATTTATTAGTACATCCCATTTCTGATTTCTTCACATGTCTTGTAGGGAAACCCCTAGAAGGGCCCCGGAGAAAATGGCCTTTTGGAGGAGAAAAACTCACATAGGTAACTATTTTACAATTTAATTATTTGTTTTTGTGTAAAGTGTGGTTGTGGTAAAGAATTATGGTATTTGTGATATATTTCAAAAGCTACAGTCATACGTCTCCTCGGTCTTCTCTCAGGTGGGTTTACAGTCTCTCTACATCCTGTCCTGGTGTAGTACACTGGTTTAGGAAAAAGTTAGATTAACATGAGCTAGTCTCTCTCTCTGAGCATTGTTGCTTTCTGTGTGCAGGTATTTGTTATTTGAAGCACGCTGTTATCAGTATCTGCATCAGACACAGATTGAGGTGGCCTGTTATGACATGCAGAGACAGGCTCCGAAATGTCAATTTTTGAATAGAATTCAAGCTAATTTAAATATATATTTTCCATTTCTTTACAATCAATAAAATGGATCATAAAGAATGGTTATTTTGTTGTCATCTTCTGGAAAAAAACCCCATAATTTTCCCACAGTGATTTATCATCTAAAAGTGTTATGTATGGTTGTTACTAGACTCAGAGGAAAAGGGTATGGCATTATAAATGGCTTTCATCATTCATTTAATTGTTAGCTTCTACACTTCAATTCTTGCAGACAGATGTAAAAAGCTCCCTCAGAAATTCTTTTTACAAAAATGCTTTATAAGAAAAAAAATATATAGCATTTACATTTTTATTTTTAAGCAGACCAAAGCTTTTCTTACTCAATAATTGTCTTTGTAACTGATAGCAGGACGAGGCCAGCCTGTTGTGTGAGAAGGTGTTTCCTGTTGCAGGTCTGTGCACGGGCATTATGCATAATTCAATTCTCAGACATGTCTCTGTGTTCAAAGTTTAAGGTGCTGTGAAAAATGTTTTTGTCATGTTGAAGATTATTTACTGTTTTGTTTCTCAGTGAATATATTTTCAGTTTAGACGTTAAAAGCATGACTAAGAATGATAATGAGCCTTGTTGCATTACCTTGACGTGTGAGACATGAGATCAATGTCAGAGCGTGTAATTACAGATAACATCTTGAATTCATGTAGAAAAAGGCTAGGCTCAGACAGAGTCCACATGTGACAGACACTCCTAGTTGTATTATCGAATCCTTGAATCGGACTCACACAAAAAGGGGCTCAAGTTTCATAATCACATTCAGGTCTAATGTTGGATTCATGGGCATAAAAAAGGCAAACCCATCATAATAATTCTATAAGATAGCGTATGGCGTATGATACTGTAAAAATAAAAGGTTATGGCCAGAAGGATTTGTGAGTCTTAGTGACAGACAAATAAACTAGGAATAGCTTTATGTATCCATAGTGAAGCTGGACCAAACTCTGAGACAATTGCCATTAAAAGTTATGGGTAATTATGTCATGTTAACAACTGCCAATAAATTGTATCAAATGTGTTTTAAATGTATTGGTAATGTCTAAAACATACTTATGCATTTAAGCAAAGTTAAAGCAATTCTCTTTTGTAAGGACCCTATCTGATATCTTGCATAGAATAAACTGAAAACATTGATGCCAGTATTATGTCTGTCCGGTAAATGTTGGAAAACAGCCAGGAGACGTAAACATAAAGACTGGAAACGGAGGGGGAACAGCTAGCCTAGTTCTGTCCAACAAAACAAGTGTAATTTAAGATTCATCACTAACAGTCAAAAAGTCCTCAAAGGCAATACAATAGGTAATAACAAGGCAGATGGCATGAACAATCGAAAAAATCAAAGGCCTACTGAAAAGGAAATTGGAAATGTGTTTGCAGCATAGACTGTAGGCCTATGTACGGTTGGTGGGTGTGGAGTTCAGGTGATACATAGGAATACATTGAGCACTCACAAAGGACAGAAAATGCATGGCAGGAGCTGAAATGACAAGATGCAGTTTACAAGGACAACCTTAAAACTGATTGTACTGATGAATTCAAAATGTCTCTGCCACTTTTACAGTATGTAGATGTATTTGTACTGACCATGCGTTCTCTCTATGTAGAGAAGGAACGCCACGTGAAAGCCAACGCGCGGGACTACAATGAAAACTTCTCTTATGCTGTAAGTAGACCTCAACACTACATCAGGTTTGCTTTATTCACAAGTGTAGGATGCAGTTATTTAACACTGTTGTTTCTGAATATTTGGTTGTTCAGGACAATCACATAAAAACCTCAAAGTACAACGTGCTCACCTTCCTGCCCATCAACCTGTTCGAGCAGTTTCAGAGAGTGGCGAACGCTTACTTCCTTCTGCTGCTGATACTGCAGGTAGGAGAAACTGTGCTTGTGGGCATATATTCACTTATTTAAATGTAGTTTTTGGAGTGGAGATCACAAGAAAATTAGTTAGCTAACGTGCTTTTCTTCTCAGTTAATTCCAGGGATTTCCTCTCTGTCGTGGTTCACAACCATCGTGCCTTTGGTGTTGGTGCTGGTGATCACGGCTGTGAAGGACGCCACTGATGACTTTGTTAGTGCAACTATTTAGCCTTTACAGTTCTTCTTAATTCTCTTCTTTATTACAATATGGTAAAATTATTCCCCCTTTTTCAAAATGTCAGTTCAGATATAAAAGCGACCAGCAAGTCAACAACCGCCAGTCTCAGGTGCTCATCAGTGGAAGGTACTTTATCCTCCTTTCTCTTTTAGATGCTTTGTGTAACTGCTAAAAAGCCAAATCTCATGCACAACTTATCATATAGTGTTTGTTTAAGCACAAGTATGTTTTTTCATTATGTTGTATTTTTTTATACAAGTTTACAGAATGAGAAATGGATGAAAATTCGAGTGGGGGATATCATCAAACTAGAGAATAATCAGTTTGTTGCTGTAAGTACAATTATCGTGTAAATTGGGGGACTTTGTGCCACTGATTTAAATTGTTGCAGATGTTCAAAATTCAAAGAAGCTGCTGATTTCTCTGACAGATTCAGTGCTGCAGAGATTGATTTATTGCCTTTTCTCACTTTTATATTTTTGGTTTGACACCCAGGCAGACATCCTCCTCCTCAGCAGTAGTGAGCCATATGGACTGTGTTATATTGAGACTGCAGAGCTAGATGGGTAAGTGCTGCATCTGTTATGTATAGTAAAACTGAAGAAACCTAAACTGCATTTGAATTCTATGTGCGACAATGATTATGATTTTTGATGGTTGATTGTTTTTGCAGATTCTTGAGTGTACGTGACTTTTCTTAACATTAAAGGGGTTTACTGAAACATTTCTACGTCACCGCACAACACACATTTTCTTTTTTCGTTTTTCACCAAACAGAGAGACCAATCTGAAAGTTCGCCAGGCTTTGACCATAACCTCAGACTTCGGAGATATTTCAAAACTGATGGACTTTGATGGTGAGTTCCCGCTTAACACATGAGTTTATTTTTTATATTTGCGTCAATAAAACAATTGTAGAAAATGCAGGCTTTCTGTATGTGGCCATGTTGACTTTGATGTGTGAATAAATGTCTATGAAATCTTTCCTGCATTAAAGACTGGTTTGTTCATCAGGAGAAGTCATCTGCGAGCCACCAAACAACAAGCTGGATAAATTCACAGGAACGTTACACTTGAGAGACAGTAAACACCCTCTGGACAATGAGAACCTGCTGCTGCGAGGCTGTGTACTCAGAAACACTGAGTGGTGCTTTGGGATGGTTATCTTTGCTGGTATGAATGATCTTTTTATTGATTTGATGCTTTTAATCCTATGTTCTTTCAACACTGATATTTGTTGTATCCCTCCAACAGGTTTGCAAACCAAACTCATGCAGAATTGCGGAAGGACTACATTTAAAAGGACAAGTATTGATAAGCTGATGAACACTTTGGTTTTGTGGGTAAGTTGTTGCTTTAAAACACAAGCTTTAGGGTTAAGGTTAGTTCACTATAGCCCATTTCAGACACAAAGGCAATTCAGATGCCTTTACATAAGGATTAACACAAGTATCATTAATAAATAACAAAATCGACATTGTGAATACATAAGATGCTGCAAAAAGTGCAGACAAATAATAATACAATATAGTTAAATGACCTCTGGAAAAGCAGCAGTAAAAAGAAAGGTTTTAGCCGAATTAAAGGAACCAAGCATTGGAGCAGACCTCAGATGTTCAGGCAGTTTGTTCCAGATCTGCGGGCATAAAAGCTTAAAGCATTAAAGAACATAAATTGATTATCTATATTTCAGATCTTTGCTTTCCTCATCTGTATGGGAGTTGTGTTGGCCATTGGAAACACTCTCTGGGAGACCTGGACAGGCAGAAACTTTCAGGTGTTTTTGCCGTGGGATGACTTTCAGAGCAGTGCTGTTTTCTCTGGCTTCCTCACCTTCTGGTCCTACATCATCATCCTCAACACTGTCATGCCCATCTCACTGTATGTCAGGTAAGGGCAACCAACGCTTTTCCAAAATGCTATGCCATAAACCTTTCTTAGAAACATATTGTTGCTTTGAGGAGATGCATAACAATGATCTTTTCCCTCTTTTTTTCAAACTTTCACACTGAATTCAATCTTTCAGTTTAGAGCAAAATATTACAATACAATGTTTGTTTGCACCTTCCTTCAGTGTGGAGGTACTGCGACTTGGTCATAGTTACTTTATCAACTGGGACCAGAGGATGTACCACAGTCAGACAAACACCGCGGCAGAAGCTCGCACCACCACCCTGAACGAGGAGCTCGGCCAGGTGGAGTACGTCTTCTCCGACAAGACGGGCACCCTCACCCAGAACATCATGGTGTTCAAAAAGTGCTCCATAAATGGACAGACATACGGTATTGAACACACAAATATGAGAAAACTAACATCTGCATCATGCCACTGGCAGACCAGAACAGACTGGTTGATATCCAGTTAAATGTTTTTACTATGTCCTATAACCAAAAAACATTTAAATGTGTTTTATCAACTTTGGTTCACTGGTTTATTATTTCTCTGAAATACCATTGAATTGTATAATTATTCCAGTAGGATATGGAAATCTGGTCAAATGTATTCTATTAAATATCAGAATATTTCATAATCAGCTTTTTCACTCTAAAGTAAAAGGTGTCAGTTTGGACTTTAAAACATCTCATTTATGTCAATGGCAAACTTGTTATATTTAATTTTAATATACCTTTTTTGTTTTTCTTAGGTGATGTATATGATGAATTTAAGCAGAAGGGGGAAATTACAGAAGTAAGTGAGGCTAAACAAGCACACATTATTAACTCTGTACCAACTCTTATATTGTTTTTACGATGTGGCGCTCCCTGTGCCCTCAGAAAACAGACTGTGTGGACTTTTCCTTCAACCCTCTCTATGACAGAGGGTTTAAGTTTTATGATGGCCGGCTGGTTGAAGCCATTAAACTGGAGGATCCGGTAGAGCAGGATTTCTTCAGACTGCTGGCTTTGTGCCACACTGTCATGCCAGAGGAGAAGAGTGAAGGTGAACTGGGCACACAATCCAGAAGTGAAGCATCAACAATTATAACATAAAAAACTCAAAATGTGTAATTGGTTCTGGTTTGTTTTCTGTAAACATGAAGGACATTTGGTGTACCAGGCCCAGTCCCCTGATGAAGGAGCCCTGGTCACTGCGGCGCGAAACTTTGGGTTTGTCTTCCGGACCCGGACCCCCGAGACCATCACACTGTGTGAGCTGGGAAGAGCTGTCACCTACCAGCTGCTGGCCATACTGGACTTCAACAACGTGCGCAAGAGAATGAGTGTCATTGGTTAGGTCTTCACTTATAACAGCAATACTCTCTTTAGCCGACAAGTAGTCATCATGACAGTATGTGCACACAAAATCATTTAGAAAACAAGTGTACTGACTCCTTTTTTAACATTTTTCAACATACCTGAAATAATTAGTCATAACTCTTCTAAAATAGCATAAAGTTATAGGCTCTATGTGTTTGCATTATGTTCAATGTATTTGAATGCAAATAGGATTTGCTCAGAAAAGTCATGCTGTCTTCTTTTTCTCGTATTTTACAGTGAGAAACCCACAGGGCCAGATTACACTCTACTCCAAAGGAGCTGACACTATCATCTTTGATCTTCTGGATCCCTCAAATGAAGATCTCATGTACACCACCTCAGAACATCTCAATGTAAGGGTTGCACAATTGGAAAAAATCTGTAATTAAAGTACTGAAATCATCTGTGCGCTTTACAACTGTGTTTCTTTTCCGATCATGTTCAAGGGATTTGCTGGAGAAGGACTTCGCACACTGGCTCTGGCCTACAAAGATCTTGATGAAGATTATTTTGAAATCTGGATGAAGAAGTTAATTTCCGCCAGCACTGTGATTGAGAACCGCGAAGATCAGCTGGCTGTTCTCTACGAGGAAATTGAGCAGGGCTTGAAGGTACAATTGTTCTCCTTTTGTTAACATCCTTAAAATGATCACACTCATTAAGCCTCTGCTCCTCTGCCTCTGGCATGGCTGAAGCTTCTAGGAGCCACAGCTATCGAGGACAAACTTCAGGACGGAGTCCCAGAAACCATCGCCTCTCTAGTTCTGGCTGACATCAAGATCTGGGTCCTCACAGGAGACAAACTAGGTAGCATAATTCAACTGAAGTACCTTTTTGGACAAAGAAGCTGATACGGTAAAAATCTAAAGAGATGTATATTGTATAAAACATTTCAGAGACGGCGATGAACATCGGCTACTCCTGCCACATGCTGCGAGACGACATGAATGAGGTGTTTGTCATCTCAGGCCACACACTGCTGGAGGTGCAGCAGCAACTCAGGTGAGTTATGTGTGGGAAATATTGTTAATGTAGTACCTAAAAGTAATATTTTATCCAATGGACTATGATAATGCTGTTATTCAGTAGAGCCTTCATAAAGCTTTATTTAAACATTCTGTAAATGTTTGTTAACTTGCTTTCCTCTCTCCTCAGGAGTGCCAAAGAGCAGATTCTTGGCCTGAGTCGAGTTAGCAGTGCAGGAGATGTTGAGAAGGCAGAAATGTTTGCAGATGGCTCTGTGTATGAAGAGACCATCATTGCAGAGTACGCCTTAGTCATCAATGGACACAGTTTGGTAATATACCAACATTTCTTTAAATATATGGTATTTTCCTTTGTTCTAATGATAACCTCTGCTTGATTTTATTTTGGGGCCGACGCCTGCACGTTTGTTAAATGATTGTTGTGTTGCTGAGTTTGTCTTCTCTGATGCTGCTGCTGACGGAGCTGAGTCTGTAATGATCTACTGCGCTCCTGAGGGCCCTCGGCTCTATTCAAGGTTTTCATTAACATCCATTTCCTCAGAGGAGCTGCTCCCTCGCTGCGCCCAGAGCACGGTGCAACAACAGCTTGGTGGAAATGTTTCATTGAGCTGTTTCTTCCTCTGCAGGGGGTCACGCTATAGCCTGGTAATGATAGCTCTAATAGGTGTGATGTATGTTCTCTCTGCAGGCTCACGCCATGGAGCCACAGCTGGAGCATGTCTTGCTGGACTTGGCCTGTTTGTGTAAAACTGTCATCTGCTGCCGGGTCACTCCCATGCAGAAAGCCCAGGTGGTGGAGCTGGTGAAGAGGCACAAGAGGGCCGTCACCCTGGCTATTGGAGATGGAGCCAACGATGTCAGCATGATCAAGAGTGAGTCTCACTCAGGGACCCAAAGCTAAATATAGGAACATTTTTTACAGCATCATAACATTCAAGTAGCTAGATTTCGTCTACTAATTTTAACATGACATTTTGGGCACTGTTAAAGATGTCATAGTATCGTGGGAAGAAGCTTTATGTTTGATTCGTTAAAGAAACAGTTTGTGCCTCTGTTATATTTTAAAGCTAAAATTTCTAAGGATGGATTAAACTCATATTTGCATTGACATTATGTAACTTTAACAAGGTGTATATGTGTTTGTACACTCTCAACATGTTATTGCTCCTGTTTTTTATGTTTATAGTATCTAGTAAGCCCTGGCCAGTCTTTTGGTGTATGACAATTGAACAAATAAATAGCTTTCCTTTAGTTTCAAAGGTCAGCGATCCACTCTGCTGTTTCTTCCTCAGCTGCTCACATTGGTGTTGGCATCAGCGGTCAGGAGGGAATGCAGGCAGTTCTGGCTTCAGATTACTCCTTTGCTCAGTTTCGGTACCTGCGGCGCCTCCTGCTGGTTCACGGGCGCTGGTCCTATTTCCGCATGTGTAATTTCCTGTGGTACTTCTTCTACAAGAACTTTGCCTTCACACTGGTACACTTCTGGTACGGCTTCTTCTGTGGTTTCTCAGCTCAGGTAAGAATACTGACACTGATGAGCTAATTGTGGACATCATCATTTTTTTGTTACTCTGAAATGGGACTATTGATTTTGGCTACACACACCTGACCTGATCTTTCAAAGGGGCTTTGATTTAAAGGCACAAACCTTTCCACATTTGTTTTAAAATAATGTATAGTATATTGCTATCCTCTTTCCACAGACTGTGTATGACCAGTGGTTCATTACCCTCTTCAATATAGTCTACACATCTTTACCAGTCCTGGCGATGGGACTTTTCGATCAGGTAATAATTATATTGGCAATATTAAATTGCCTTATACTTTTAAAACAAGCTAAACAAGTCCAAATATTATTACTTCAACCTCTTTTAATGTGTATTGATTGGTATCCAAATATCTAACACCACATGAAGTACTAAACTTAATATAACTTTGGCTAGAACCCCTGACTTGATAACAAATGTACATTTATGCCACTGGACTTAAAATCTGCCAAAGAAAACTAGCATTGAGCCATCAATACTAACTGTATACCATATCCCTACCATTCTCTATTATAATACCACATAACTCTGGTGATATTTCCTACAGGATGTCAGTGACCAGAATAGCCTTCACTACCCGAGCCTCTACAAACCAGGCCAGCAAAACCTCTTCTTCAACAAACGCCAGTTCTTCCTGTGCACGCTGCAGGGGGTAAGCACATCATCCCTGCTCTTCTTCATTCCCTACGCTGCCTTCTCTGTCATGGTGAAAGAGGACGGCTCCTACATTTCTGACCAACATGTGTTTGCTGTTACCATAGCAACATCCTTGGTCATTGTCGTGACTGTTCAGGTAAGAGCATAAACAGACAAAATCAGTGTTGATGAGATAATTAAACGCTCTGTTTATGGTGCATGTATCTGTTCCTAGATTGGACTCGACACACACTACTGGACAGTCGTCAATCACTTCTTCGTATGGGGGAGCCTGATAGTCTACTTTTCCATATTGTTTGCCATGCAAAGTGATGGCATGTTTGGCATCTTTACAAGTAGTTTCCCATTCGTAGGTAAGTTTGGCTCATTTGGATAAATGTGAAGAATGAATACTGATGCACTGAAATTCACTTTAAGATAAATGTATGTCCTCAGGCACAGCTCGAAACTGTCTATCAGAGAAGAGTGTGTGGTTGGTCATTCTGCTCACCTCTGTGGTGTGTGTGGTGCCCGGCATGGCAGTCAGCTTCCTGAGAGTAGAGCTCTTCCCAACTCTAACAGATAAGGTACAGTAACTTTGATGTTAACAACGTTTTTTAAAACTTCACAACATTTCATGTTGAATATATTTTGTTTTGCTTCACTACGCCTACTCCTATACTTTAACAGTTTAAGTTACTAGTTGTAAATAAAGAGTTTACAAGAAGAAATTATCTGCTAAGATAGTACAATTTATAAAAAAATTAAACCAGATGTTCCCAGCCTTTTTAACTTGGGGATCCTTGTCTAATTAAGATATCTGTGAATTGTTAGCTACTTAAACATTGATATATCAGTATAAACAGTGGACAAATGTCATATATCTGCCAGTCACATTGAACACTTTATGCAGAACTATACTTTTACTTTGAATACTTGTGCAATTTGCTATTAATACTTTTAAATAGAATATATTATATATTTAAATATCTAAATATATACTATATAGATATTGCATATTTTCATTTTGGTATTAATACTTTTATTTAAGTAAAGGATCAAAGTACCTCCTCCACCTTGTATTTGGACAGGTTCGTCATGTCCAACAGTTTAGAAAGAGGCAGGGTCCTCAGGAGCAGAGCCTGAGGAGAGTTCGCAGGACGAGCTCCCACCGCTCTGCGTATGCCTTCTCCCACCAGCAGGGCTACGGAGAGCTCATTACCTCAGGAAAAAACATGAAGATGAGCACACCGTCTTCTACTGGCTCGCCTGGAAGGACACCACAAAGCTCCACCTGGATAGAAAACATGTTGAAGAGAAAGAACACAGTCTCGTGCGTTTCTGATGAAAGCACAGGAGCACCAGCAAAAACAGACTGAAAACTGAACATTAGCTCTGACCTACAGATACTGGTTAAACTTCAGGTCACCAAATGCATGGTTCACACAGACTAAGCACAATGTATGAGTGTCCTTCATTTGGGTGAATCTATGCTCAAATCTTCACATGCCTACCTCGTTTTTTTTTACTTTAGTGTGAATGTGGATTATATTAAATATTAAAGGCCAGTCAAATAAGATTATCTAGGGGAACAATTTTGCCCCCCAAAAAGCCATCTGATTAAAAACTGATAATGGACAACTTTAAAACCTTTATTATGCAAGGAATTTGGTTAATGGGCAAACTCAGATGATATATTTTAAGACATTATGTATGAGTTGCCAAAAAGAAAGACATCCTTGTTCTGCCTTAACCGAGTGGTTGGTGGATTTATTCAATTTTATTTGAATGATTTAATTTTCTGATTGTCACAAACATAATACATGGAACACAAGTTAAGAAAGCCCAAAGCACGGGTACTAAAAGTGTATAAGACTCTTATGTAAGTCAATGCACTGAAAAACTCCCCTCAAACAGACTCCATCATGCTAAAATGTGTTTCTTAAATACTGACATAAAACTGCTGAAGGTGATGATATGAAATTATTTATTGATTTTAATGGATTTTACTGACTACATATCTTCCAATATATGTGTGCGTTCTCCCCATGCCTCGCCTTGAATCCTTCCTATTAAAGATAATCAATCTTTTTTATTTGATATTCAACAATTATTTGGCCTGCTTTCGTTCCAACAAATGTGTTCAAAACTCATCAACTATTTTGTCTTAAAACATTTATCCTTCACTTTGAACATTGTTCAGTTGCTGCACAACATTTGAATGATCAAACTCCAAACTTTTTCAATTTGGTTCTCAACATAAGATGAGGTGAATACAGTGGAGATTAGCTTGAAAAACTATTTTATCTATAAAAAATGTTTAGTGGACATATATGACCAGAAAGTAAAAGAGGAATCGGCCTGGACGTGGGACAATGCGATAAAATCATAGACAGATGTTAATGCAGATGCTGCAGTTACAGTCAGTGCAGTACAGTGCGCCTACCTGACCACTGAGCCTCTAACATCACTGCTACAATGAAGTGATATTGATATGTGATCAAATCAGAACTTTTCTACCCTTATTATTTTCCAGTAGCTCTCACACCTTTAACAAAATACAATCTGAGAGTTAGTAGTTACTTATTGTATTGTGTTGTTATATATAAAATGTAAACAGAAAATTCAAATTATGAATGGATTTCATACAGCAGCACAAATTTAACTTCATTATTATTTTATTTGTCATCTCTTCTTCTCTAAGCTGAACAATGATACATTACATTGTAAAAAATCAATTACAAAAATCCGATTCCCTTTGAAACAAATTATTCACCATTGTTGTCACTTTAAACAAGAGTAAAGTTTACATATTGGATTATTTCATTAAACTTAAGAGCGATCTGAATAAGGTGATTGAAGGATTGCTGTAAATACTGGAGGATGTATTTTACTCCTCAATGAAAATGGCGGCCCCCCCGCCCGGCTTTGACACAAACAAACTCTGTTTTTCCATCCCTGCCCTGCGTGGATCGGGGTGGTAGTAAGCCTCGCTCACTGCTTTTAGGAAAGACTCCACCTTCTCATCGGGAACCATGGAGACAGCACAGCCGCCCCAACCTGCTCCTGTCAGCCGGGAGCCCACTGACCCCGACTTCCTGCGAAGAGTAACAAGAAGAAGCTTTTTAGTCAGTTTATCAATAAAGACAATATTTCTGAACCCACTGCATACAGTACACAGGGCTACATTTACAGCTGACCAACCAGTACGAAATATACAAACAGATAAGAAGTCCGTTTACTTTGCTTTGAGCTAAATGCTAACACCAACATGTTCAGATGCTATTGTAGGCAGGTATTATATTTACCATGGTCACCAATTTACCATGATTTATGTATGTTTGATGAACATACTTCATCATGTTCTGTTACTATATAATGGTTTAGTATTTTGTGGATTTGGTGCATCAAAACAGTAAAAGTTAAGTTGGTATGAAAAGTATTGAAGTGGAAGCAAACCTGCAGAACACCAGGGCCCTGACACTGAAACCGCTAACATTTTTAATTCAGCCACACAACTTACAAATGTGCCTAAAGTGTTTTTTTCTTAATCGTAATGTTAATCAAATCCCTAAAACTGCAATGGTCAATATTTAATTTGATCCCATACTGTCTGTCCTGAGAGTTAGTCTGTATTAGTAGGCTGTACTCACAGACAGATGTCCACCAGTTTATCCAGTTCAGGGCAGCTGCACTCATACAGGTCTCTGCAGCTCGCATGGCTCTGGTTCATCAGATCTCCCAGTCGCTGGACGGATTCAGCAGGTTCAGAGTCACACACACTCTTAAACTGCAGCACGCGCGCAGCTTCACCGTACACATGCCGGGCTCGCTGGTGCAGCTTGAAGTGTGTCTCTGAGAGAGAGGAGAAAAGGTTGTCAGGTCATTCATCTGGTTGGTGTTATTGGAGTTTCTGAACACAAGCTTTAATATCAGTAAAATGTAATGATGCTTTTAGAGTAATTTGTTTGTCTTTTGAGGATATTTAGGCACAAGAATGTTAATAACTTAATAGAATAAAACCTCAGAATTGGTGGCTACTTATCAGCAGATAGTTGAAAATGAGTGTAAATTAATCGTATGTACCGTGGTCCGTGACACATGGATATAGTACCGTGACGGTCTCATACCGTTACACCTCGACTTGAAAATAACTTGAATTATAGATGCCATTTAGTGTTACATCACAAAACTGTATTAATATTTTAAATCGTTATATCCTAGATCAAGGTTGAAGTTATTATTGCTACAAATGCAAAAACATTTGAATAATTGAAAATGTAACCAGAACCTAAACCGCTTTTTAACATTTCCGTCTAGTAGTCCGAACTCGGATAAAACGATGTCTTTAGATTACAAAAGTCCCTATTTCACCAGCATTTGATGAATATTAAGCAAGATCACCTTTTAATTAGTCATTATCTAACCTGTCAATCCACTCATTAAACTACAAACATGACTGATATATGTGTTTGTGTTTCTCACCCTGCTGAGTGTTGGTGCTCAGCAGCTCTGTGGAGAACTGCTTGGGGGTGATGCCCAGCGCCTTGCAGATCTCCTCTCGGCTGTACGGCTCAGGATGCAACGCCTCGTCCACCAGAGCCAGCATCTCCTGCAGGGAGGCCTTCAGCTCCGTCTGAACCTGCACCAGCTTCAGCATCCTGCCCGAGTCCAGACCTCGAGCCTGGGCCAGCATCTGAGTTCACAGATCACACACAGAAAGACATTAAAATGTGGAACTTTTTACCCGTCTCTCCACTTGAAATTGATAATCACACACATTTGCTCCAGAATTCAATTCATAAGAATTGTTAGGAAACAACAAATTCTCTCACAGTTATCGTATTGAAAATATGATTAAATGTTTTCAGGCAAGTGTGACACAACACAGATGCAGGTTATTTACTTAATTAAATCAACTGCTTCAACAAAGGGGGCATAATGAAAACAAGTCTAAGAGAAAATGTGATTTTCATTCATGCCAGATGATGCTAAAGTTAAAAGGATCATCCATCTCCTAATATTTCTGTGTTCTTATGGTTGCTTTGAATTGAGATTTGCACTAAACCTTATTGCTTAAAAAAGAAACCCCATTTGGAGATATTGCATCACGTTTATGGACGAAATATTTATGTTGACAGGTTTCTTTATAAACATTAAATCAATCAACATTTGTTTTCTTTAAAGTTCAGATTCACCATGCAGCATTGTCCAATCACATTGCTGGTTCTAAACCTGTTTAAAGACTCTTATCATAGGATGTATGTATATTCACAATAAAGTATAAAGAAAGGTACAAGCAAATTGTGATTTAACAGCAAACACGTCAAAAGACAGAGGCATGGTCATAAACTTGCTTTCTATAAAAATCACCCTTTGCCCATGAAGGATCAGGTTGAGAACCACTGGACAGCATCACTGTACCTTCGTGGCGATTCGACACTCCACCACTCGGATGTTGAAATGAGCAGAAGCAGCTTTGTTCATCTCCATGCAGCAGTTAGAGATCACAAACACGGCTCCATCTGGGAGCTTTACGTCCGTGGCTCGCAGAGGCTGAAACTCTATCAGCTTGGCCTGACAGAGATTTAAAACATTTTTTGTAACAAACCATAATTCATGTCACTACTTATAAGGGACAATAAAACAGACATTTATTCTTGCATTTTTCAATTAACTTCTATTATTGTATTAAAAGTTTTGATGAAGAAATGATCCTGATAATTTTTTTCCCAAATGTACTGAAAGTAAAGCGACGTACAGTTCCTCTCTCTGCCAGGAATGAGATGGACTGGTCCATGCCGCCTCCCTCTGTGCCAATGTAGCGTTCACTTTTGGCACATATCTCAGCCAGTGCCACCTGGAAATAAAAAATGATATGAATAAAACTTTTGAAATTGACAATATACCCTCTCATATTGACTAAGGGCATTAAAGACAGGCACATAATAGGTTTGTTTTGAAGGTAGGAATGACAATTCCTTGTATAAGAGAGCCTTGTTTCATGAAATCTTGTAGTGGTCATTGACTCAGACCTGAATTTCAACAGCCACGTTTTGACCATTACAGATATACAGTATGAGTATGACATATTAAAATATTCTTACACTGCACTGTAAGTTTTATTCTTGCTTCTTATAAATGTCTTGTTTTTGTATTACTTGAATGTCTTTTTGTGGTGTGTTTCTTTGGTACTTTGTCTCAATGCTTTTGTTGTTCAATTGCTTTCTAGTTTTTAACTGCCCCTTTGTTGAAATGTGCTATAAATAAACTAAAAATGAACATACAGTATATATAGCTCTTTGAATGTAAATGTTTTTTTCCCCATGCATTTACCTTGGAGAGGGACTTTTGATTTGCCTCCATTGTTACGAGCCCAGCACAACAAACTAAGGCACTGGAACTGGAGAGGCCGGAGCTCGGAGGAATAGTTCCTTCTACGACACACGACATCCCCGCTAAGTTAGCAATCCCAAAATTCTCCTGTAAAAAAACAAACAGGTAGATTAATTCCATTAATTTGTGGAAAGCAACACTTTACCACAGTATACTTAATTTTCCTGGATAAGGAATAATTGTATTTTACCTTTATACCTTTTACTCCACAGAGAAAGTAGTAATACCACTTTGGATTATCTCTGTCAATGGCAATGTCCTCTGAACACGACACAGTAAAATCCCTGCAAGCAGATGATGGATGCTGTAAAGGTATTATAAACTCCTTAACTTCGCAGGCTCAGTCAATGTAAATGTGAATGATCAAGCTTACGTGTACAGAGGATTTGCATTGGCCAGTGTGATTTTCCCTGAGTTGTTTAAAGAGACAGCCGCGAGAATACTGGGTTCAATGGCCATGGGAAGAACAGAATAGCCACAGTAATCAATATGCTCTCCTGTCAAATATGAGATATATGAACAAAGAGAGTGTCATTAGCAGAAGCTATGCATGTAGTAATTCATACAAACATTTTAACACTGCATCTTAGTAAAGTGTAAACATTGTTTTAGGAAAAAATTGTTTATTTGCATTTTTTGTAATTAACTTAACTGGCAAAAACAGCAACATGAGATAAGTGTAACTGTCTTAAAAGGGACAGTTCTTACATATAAGGCACACCTACAGTATAGTCAACTAAAGCATACTTTACAATAACATTACCTATTAGATTGACCCTTCCAGGGGCACATGCATAGAAAAGAGGAGGTTCTCCATACTTTGTCTCAAAAGTATTCTTCAAGTTTTGCAGCCTGTGTAAAGAAATACACATAAAGAAATGAAAAGAGTAGTATCACATGTGTTACCCAAATCCCCTGTTTTACTGAAAATTAGCACATCTTTCTGTTACTTACCTTTCATTGGCAGCAATCACTGTCTTTAACTTCGGTGGGTCTGCAGCCATTTCTAACTTCTTTTTCAAATAACTATGAACGTACCTCTTGCAGTCAGACAGGATCTGTTTGCAGAGCCTGCCGCGATCAGCTGACTGTCACAAGAGGATCCCGGATGTAGAAACTGAACTGCAGTCAGTTCTTAAAATTGAGTTCAGCTCAGTTAATAGAAGGCAAGTTCCTGTTTGTAACAGAGGAGCTGATCGAGAAGCAGTTTATGCTGCAGCTGCAAAAACACGGAAGTGTCGGGAGGAGAAGAGACGTTTTTTTTTAAAAATCTTTATTTAAAAACATTGAAATTTACAAACATTCAGACATGTACTCAACAACTCAACATAATTAATTCATTTTAATACATGGAAGTGATAATGGTGATTACGAACATATAATACATCTACAGTAAATAAACTTGCACCGTCCTTATAGGTTGGCAAAAAAAAAAACACAAAATAATTTCAATAACTCACTGTTTTACAAAAAGATGGGAATACAATGTTAAAAAAACCGATATTGTTTCCATGAAAAGAGTTCTATACAACAGCACACCCTTTCACTTAGAAGAAAACCAAAGCAATATCTTTGATTAAGGATTAACATTATGGATTATGTGCACTGTAATTCTAAATGTAGAATGTAATCATATATCCCATTTTCAGCGTTATTATCATTCACATAGTAACAGCTGTTATACAATATATTTAATATGAGTTTCCAGCTTTGTTATTAAGGATCAAGGTGACTACACTTCCCATAAGCCCAGACGCGCTGTTGCCATGGAGTCCCGGATAGCGTCTCAATTCCGAAGCAGTTCGAAGCAGCAACAATAATGATTATGAAATAGTTTATATCCTGCAAGTCATTCTACCGACAATGAAAATTAAACTAGTATACGTATGTGTATAAATATAATCTCGGTGTTCTGCCTTTAGGACCCAGTGGTTTGGCGCTGCTAGTGCGCGGGAGTTTTCAAAGTGGGCGAGTCTCTAAAAGAGGACGTCCGACCGGCTAACCGGAGTTAGCCAACAGCTAGTTTAAAGTAACCCCAACAAGATAGTGCTCAGACAGATTCACCACAAAACGGATGATACACTTTTTTATTCACATACGATTACACGTATTTACTCAAACGTGTTCTGCGTAAGTTTTCCAAAGCATGGTCAGTTCGGTTTTAGGTGTTTATCGGGCTCGTTGTTTTCTAAGGCAAGCTAATATGAACGCAAGTTAGTTAGCTAAAGTTAGCGTCGCTGCTTTGTATGTAAACAGTAATGTGGCTAGTGGTTAGCTAAAAACGTCCCTGAAATAAGAGGATAAGCGACTCATCAAAGGAAACTGCTGTCCCATTTATATCAACAGGTAAGTGGATGCGATGTGTTAATAACTTACGTTCACTTTACATGATAGCCTATTTAACCATCCTTTATCGGTAACACTAACCTTTACTAATATTCTCCCTGGCTGTTCGTGGTTTCCCTCTTTGAGTTTTCTTTACCTCTTTTCCAGTGATGTAAAGTAACTAAGTAGATTTACTCAAGTACTGCACTTAAGTATCATTTTGAGGGACTTGTACTTTACTTGAATATTTCAATGTTTTGATACTACAATTCAGAGGTAAAGAGTGTACTTTTACTCCAATATATTTATTCAATAGCTTTAGTTGCTTTGCAGATTTGGATCAACGATGTGAAATATAATCAATACTTAAATAAGACTTGAGTTACACCTGGAGTAACATTCACAAGCTACCATGTAGCATACAAAGTCATTCAAACTAGCTGCACCGTTACTAGCTTTGATAACACTTTAATGCATCAATAATTATGATCAAAACATGTAATAGTGTATATATTATTCTGAAAGGCCAATCTGCAAAATTAGTACTTCTACTTTTGGAACTTT